ATATATATATATATATATATATATATATATATATATATATATATATATATATATATATATATATATATATATATATATATATATATATATATGATATCCAGAAATTTCAGAGTAATTTCAAATGCCCCGCCATGAGTGATACTGAGCGTTCAAGGTCATCTGAGGGGAGGGAGCGCTGCCTGCTCGTAGCGAGAGATTGCGGAACTAGGCCTATATGATATTAAATGTGATTTACCGAATTAATAATGATGCGATTCATGAAGTTAAGGGACTATTATTGAATTTGAAATTATTATAGATCGTTTAGCAGTCTGAATAATGTTACAGGTGTCCCAAGGAGTTATTAGTTAGGCGGTAAATATATCACGTAGGACCAAGCTAACGCCTTGAGAGGACACGAGGCGGGTTCTCTCCCAGTCCCGGAGAGCAGTCACACAGACAAGACGTTCCGCGCGTCCATCAGAAATAGTCACGTGGCCTAGTCACCTGTGCTGCGCTATTGCAGTATAACAAGTAAGTCTCATTCGATCTCAGACAGGGTTAGATAGGGCAGTGGTAAAGTTAACTAGAGCTAACAGTGAGTTCATTTCAGGGTTTCCGTCAGAACCCACTTGATTGGAGTTGACCGGAGTTGACCGGAGTTTGACTGCGAGAGATTGACTGCCGTTTGAGACTGCCGTTGATGATTGAGGGTGGCGATTGTCGCCATTGGACCGATCAGAGTAGGCCTGTCACTGTTTAGCGGGGTACCAAAGGATCTCTTGAGGGAATCTAGCCGTCTGGGTGCCCAGCTGACGTCGGCTCACAACACCACATGTCCTGAGCCGCTTAGTGAAACCCTCTTGCTAACGGGAAGCTAAAGCTCCTCTCAACTGCACAGGGTCTGATTGGCTCACTCTCTTCCTGCCCATGGACGCACTGGGAGTACACTGGGGCTATCTGAGTATATTAATGGTCACACACTGAGACCGTGAGTCTAGGATTCTAGGAGATACCTAGAGGAACATTTTATCTTCCTTATTACGGGTGTAGTTAACACCATTCCTCAGACTGATATTATCTTGACGTGTGTAGTTTAATATTTCTTAAATAATTCTGATAGTAGTGTTTTTTTTGAATGTTTGTGCCATTAAGTGGAACCAGAGTGATACTGTGATTTGATTCTTTTAATGCCTCTAATTCTTCATAATTCTGATCTCAGGTATAACCTTGTTCCCCAGAGTAGTGGAGGTTAGGTTAGGAAGTGTACATCTGTTGGGGTGCTATAATTTTGTTGAAAGCCCTTAAGGCCTATTCATTGTAGAGTAGTTAATTTCTTATTTTTTAATACCATTTCCTAAGTGACTGATATTATTTTGTGAAAGCCCTTAAGAGGCCTGTTTCATGTGTGCAAGCAACATTTATTAATACTTCAAATTTATTGTTGCCTGTGTTTCTAATAATTTCTGTCATTTATAACTTTTATTCCCCAGAGTAGTGTTTTAAGTTTAAGTTAAGAGGTGCGCATATTGGTGTACCATTATTTGATTGTGTTTGTAGTGTTGGAGGGAATATAAGTGTCTAAATTTTAAAGTGTGTCTCATTCATCCCAGTCACAGACGCTATCCTTCCACGGGTCACGGACAGTTCATTTGTGTAGTAGATTTAAGTGTTCTTGTGCTGGTTCGGGATTTTTCTCAAAGGGGCGCTTCCACTGCCTTTACCATCTATTAAATTTTAATAAACCCCAAGTCAAGTGAGAAATTAAAGTCCAGCAAATTCCGACCGGTTACATATATATATATATATATTGATAAAATCACACGGGAAAAGGGAAACAACGGAGCACCTTAGCTTTCGTCTTTATTCAAGACATCTGAAGATGTCTTGAATAAAGACGAAAGCCAAGGTGCTCCGTTGTTTCCATTTTCCCGTGTGATTTTATCAAGATTTATCTTATCCACGTTTTCATTGTGGATTTACATGATATATATATATATATATATATATATATATATATATATATATATATCTTGATAAAATCACACGGGAAAATGGAAACAACGGAGTACCTTAGCTTCCGTCTTTATTCAAGACATCTTCAGAGGCAACTAGATTACATGGACAGAGAGAGGCTTAAATATACAGGGTGACCTAAAAACATGAGGTCATGTCATAATGATGACATCCACTAATCCCCACACCAACACAACCGTAGAGGAGCTTAAGAGAAGGGTGGTGACGTGACTAGACAGGTCAGGTCAGAAAAAAGGGACCCACAAAATAACTGTCATACATCAAGATCAAAGGTTTTCAAAGCAGTTTTAACCTTGGGCCACTGACACATTCGTTCTATTGCACAGAAACTTGGGTACCCTTCTGTGTTTGTTGATCGTTGTTTTAAAAGGGCTAAAAAATCCTTTCATTCCTCTCAAACCAGACAAGTTCCTACACTTAAGAATATTTTGACTCTGCCCTATCGTATTGAATTTGTCCCGTTAGTTCGGTCCCTCAAGCTTCTAAATATTAATGTTGTTTTCGAGTATGACTCAACCATTACCAATATGTTAATAAGGAATAGCCCAAGTTTGAATGTAAATGGAAGTGTTTATTGTATTCCATGTAGCAAATGTAATTGTAATTATGTAGGTCAGACAGGAAAAACACTGCAGATCAGAATCAAACAACATAAGTATAATATCAGAACTGTATCTGAAAGCAGTGCCTTGTTCGTTCATGTTAGGAATAATAATCACCCCATTGCTTGGGAAAAAAGCTTAGAAGTATTCAAATCATCTTGTGTCACAGAAAGACTTCTGGTTGAAGCTAGTTTGATCAAGGAATTAAAATCAATAAACCTTAGTGATGGTCAGTTCAAAACTGATAATATGTTACATAAATTTATTTGTCAGTGGCCCAAGGTTAAAAATGCTTTGAAAACCTTTGATCTAGATGTATGATAGTTATTTTGTGGGTCCCTTATTTTTGACCTGACCTGACTAGTCACGTCACCCCCCTTCTCTTAAGCTCCTCTACATGTGTGTTGGTGTGGGGATTAGTGGATGACATCATTATGACCTGACCTCATGTTTTTAAGGTCACCCTGTATATTTAAGCCTCTCTCTGTCCATGTAATCCAGTTGCCTCTGAAGATGTCTTGAATAAAGACGAAAGCTAAGGTACTCCGTTGTTTCCATTTTCCCGTGTGATTTTATCAAGATTTATCTTATCCACGTTTTCATTGTGGATTTACATGAAATATATATACATATATATATATATATACAACAAAATAAATGTAAAAAAAATAAATGTTAAATGAATTATTTATGGTGCATTAGGGTACTGGTCACTTCAGACACAAAGACGGGCTATAAATAGCCTTCTTTATCTCCCCTCCATCTCACCCTAAGCCAGAGGGAAGGGTGGTGGTAAATAACATTTGTTTGCTTATTTTCCATTTACTTGAAATAGATTTACCGAATTATTTGTTTATTTATTTAAAAGTCATTTACTGAATATTCTATGTAAAAAAATAAATTTTAAATTAATTATTTATAGGAGATAAGTATTATGATCAGAAAATATATGGTATTACTGGCCACTTCAGACACAAAGACGGGATAAAAATAGCCCATCTCCCCCTCTTCTTACAGCTGCCAATGGGAAGCGTCTTGGTAATTAAATTTGATGTTTATTTGCATTGTTTGTCTAAAAATTGTGTAGGTAGTAGGCAGCTACCAAACAGGTAGATACTACTGCCTGGGAAGATATTGGAAGCATAATGTGTTGTCTAATGGTAGACCCTGCTGCCATATGGCGTCACGAAAATTGTGACCAAGTCCCAGGTTCAGCGCTGACCTGACTTTCTGCCTCATTTACACACAATTGCAGTTTGAATTGTTCCTCTAACTTTGACAACACAACATACATACAGTATATTATTTCTCACTTTTGATCTTTTTTTTTACTTTTTGTATTTATTTATGGTTAGTTACTTAAAATTTACTTCAAGTAATGGCATCAAATGTTACCAGCTGGTGTAGTGTAAACACTAGTGACGTCACTTAAGCGTCTGTATTTAACTGTCAGTAGTTTCAAGAATTAATGCAGTCATTTACTGAATATTCCTCGTAAAAAATTAATTTTAAATTAATTATTTATCGGAGATAAGTATTATTATCAGTAAATATACCGATATGCATTACTGACCACCTCCACGGCTAAAAATAGCCCAATCTCGCGGTCACTTTCCCTTTCTTGTCTCCTCACTGGCAAATGGGGGGGGGTGTGGGGAGGGGTGTGTGATGATAGCTGTGTTTATTACAGGGGTATAAATCTCTTTTACGGTATGTTAGACAGGTTTATAATACATTTTTATTATTTTAATATACCGGTAATCTTAATTTGAATCCAGCTTGCCAAACGTAAGTTTCAGTATAAAATAATTAGTGGTAAGACCTTGTGAGTGGCTTACGATGTTTCCATCACCACTCTTGACACACTAAACCACAATATTTAAGAGGTAAGAATTTTATACTTGGTGGTTTAGACGACCCCCTAACTTTGGGCAAATTTTTTTAATGTTCAAATTCCATCTTATAAGCCGAGATATACGGTATATATTCATATCAGGTATTTTTTTTCCAGTTAATTTTGGAATTGTTAAAGCTAGTTTTCTAAAATCAATCTGACTTCTAATTCCTGAGTAAATTTCTTCTTAAGAAACATGAAAAGGACATCACACAAAACTGAAGGTGACACACCAAAAACAAGAAGTTTGTCTAAGGCAGACAATAGATACTGCTGTGACATACCACTAATTTAATAAATGAAATATTATAAAGAAAGAGAGAGAGAGAAGTGAATGAACTACCCAACTTCTTTTAGCAAGTTATCAAAGTGAAAGCTATAAATACATTATTAGTTACTACTGTAAAGGGAATATACTTATGACAAAATAATCTGTGTGATTGAAGAGTAGGGTAAACAAAGCACTTACAGTAGTGTACTGTACTTTGTTATTTGTACCAGTTTATTTTTAAACCCTTCAGTGGTAATGACATACAGTACATCTATGATAAGTTTTCCGGCCAAGTGAGTTAATTTCTAACCTGTAGAATTCTTTGACATGTGACAACTTAACCTGGTAACCAGACACCTCTCACAGTGGCCAGTGTTTACCAGGGTGTGGAGGGGGTAAAGGCCACTCTCCTCTCTCTGGCTAGGAAGTTCAAGTGATGTTATCAACTCATTAACTGTTGATGGACAGACATAATTACAAAAAAAATTTTTCGCTTAAAGACCATAGTTGATCATTAACTGTTGATGGACTGATGTAATTACTAAATTTATTACTCGCTTAAAGATCACAGTAGTCGAAGTGCAGCAATAACATCATAATGTCAACGATACCGCTTTCCATAACATATTTCAGAGCCCTGAACATTATCTAGATACCATGTGAGGCTTCAAATGAGATTATGTGATATGTCAAGTGAAATTAACAATGACAAACAGATGGAAACAATGAGCCATCATAGAATGGATGGGGTCTGACTACTAACCACTGTAGAGGTAAAAAAGATGAAATAACCATTTAAATAACCAATTATTGCATAAAGAAATATAAGTCTTCATCTGAACAATTTGTGATATCCTCATAAACCTTGTGTAACACAACTGTGATCACATCTTGAGTACAAAACCAGGTCCACTTGAGCTGGCTCCGCCCAAGAAGAACCCCCTGGCAGCCAGCTCTTCATCGCCATCAACCTGTGAATGAGAAAAAAAATTATAAATGCCTAAAAATAGAAAGGGTGAGTAAGTATTATACAGTGGTCCCTCGGTTAACGAACGCCTCAGTTAACGAAATTTCGGTTAACGAACTGCCTCCCATAAGATTCTTAAATTCGGTTAACGAACAAAAATTCGGTTAACGAATTTCTTATGAACCGACCTCAACATGTTTTTGCTTGCACTGGCCGGGCAACCAGCTTTAGTATCAGTCCGCCAATACATTAATCGGTTCCAGGGCTTAAATTCCTAACTATTTTAGTAAATATCAAGAAGTTTATACTATTCAATAATTTTAAAAGTTTAATATTAAATTTTTTAGTCATTTTAACAATTATTGAACATAATTGAAGGTAAAGTGACTAGTTTAATGCGCGGCATCCAGCCTCTTAACACAGCAAACAGGCGTTAGTCTCTCTCTGTTTTCACTGGAGGTAACATCTTGCCTGAGACTCTCTTCAACTAAACGCTTTTTTTCTGTGTTTCCAAGCAAATTATTGGTGATTTTGAAATATATTTTACATATTGACAATATATAATGCAGTGCAGTGTTGATTTAAAGAAAATAATCTTGAAATACACCAAGAGAATCAAATACTGTAAAATTTTATGGGTGAAATGGTGCTGGTACTCTTCCAATCTCCCATCGTTTTCTCTTCTTCCTTCTCCTCCACCCCCATTCTAATTCCCATCATCATCATCATCATCATCCAGGAGCCTTCTACATACACACCTCAAAGTAAGTGAACTTTTCTACCATTTTTGTTGAATTTAGGCAATTTTCGGTGAGCTGGAACCAATTATCCAAAAACCCATTGAAACAATGGTTTCGGTTAACGAACAACCTGCTGGAACGGATTGTGTTCGTTAACCGAGGGACCACTAGACAGCTCCTCCCCGACTTACGACCTACTCGACTTATGACCACCCGAACTTATGACCTGCCTCGGTCGTACCAAAATTTTGTCAAATTACGTATTTTCGAGTCCCAACGTCAGTGATTGCACTGTGTACTGAAAATTTTTTTGTTTGTAATTCACTTTAAAATGGCTGGCAAGCTAAACAGTGAGAGTTTTGTGGTGCTGAGAAGAAAAAGAGACACCCATTTTAGATTTTCTATGTATTATTTAAGCATTTTCGACTTACGACCATTTCGACTTACGACCTGGATTTGGGTCCCTAACCCCGTCGTAAGTCGGGGAGGAGCTGTATAACATTAATTTCGTTTTTGTTTTTATCGACATACAATAAAGTATAAAAAAATCACACAAGTGAGTGAAATTTCAACCCAAACCATTCTGAACTGCAAGACTTGCCACATGGGCACTGTAAATCAAAGTCTAGTAGCACCTTGGTAAGGATTATTCTCTACAATTCGGGTCAATAACCATAACCTGGCTATTTTCAAACAAATTTTTTCATCATACATAGACACAGATGTTTAATTCCTTATGTATAACTTTCAACAATATTTAATACTTAGTGTCAACTTGGAGAAGACTTCATATGGATAAGTTTAATGGTGTACTTCCAGAAGCTACATAATTCTCTGTTGTGACTGTTTTCTAATAAATGCAATCACAAACACCTTTTCCCTATACACAACATACATCTCAACTACAAACAATAAATTTTCTGACCAGATCTTTAAAGTTCTTGCCACCAGATGGAGGCTTAGGACTTAGCCCGACTTTCTTTGAGCGACCGTGTGGATTTTCCGACTTGGCCGGCCACGTAGGAAACATAGCGGGGTCAACAGGAGCTGGGGCTTCTTTGTGGAAATAGTCGTGATGAACTGCCTCCTGACAGGTAATGCGTTTTGGGGGATTGTAAGTGAGGAACCTGGAATGAGAATCCAAATGATAAATCTACACTAGCAAGAATCTAAATACTGTACTAAATTATCAATATCAATAATTTAAATACTGTACTAAATTAACACTACCAAGAACTTAAATACTAAATTGTCTTTATCACGAATTTAAATACTAATTTAGCTCTAGCAAGAATCTAAATACTAAATTATCACTAGCAAGAATTTAAATACTAAATTATCACTAGCATGAATTTAAATACTAAATAACACTAGCAAGAATAAGAGAAAAGTACAATATAGGAAAGCCTCGAATAACGACAATTCGTATTTAAAACCCTCGTGATGGTAGTGCTGGTTCAAAAGCAAAAGGAAAGTGTATAAACTTAGCCTAGAAACTAGATGTGTTAATACGATATGAAAAAGGTCTGTGGATATTTCACGTGCTTTGGGGATGGTGGAATCAACAATAAAAACTATCCATAAGAATGAAGAAAAAATTAAAGAAAGTGCTCTGTCTACAACTCGGTTAAGTGCAAATAAAGTTTGCCAAAGCAAGAAAAATTGGAAGAAATGGAGAAACTTTCAAGTATATTGATTGAAGACAAAAATCAGAAGCATACTCCATTGAGCATGGTTATTATTCAAACAAACGCCCTAGCATTGTTTAATTATCTTAAAAATGCAAGTAAGAGTGAAAGTGTTAAAACCATAAGCTACTTGCCCAGTCAAGTTTTTAATGTTAATGAAACTGGACTATATTGGAAGAAAATGCCTTTCCAGACATTTATTTCGATGGAAGAGAATGCTGCACCAGGATTCAAAGCAGCCAAAGATCATATCACACTCTTCGTGGGTGGTAATACAAAAGGTGACTTTAAACTCAAACCTCTTGCTGTCTATCAATTTGAAAATCCTAGAGCATTCAAAGGGGTGTAATCAAAATTTGCCAGTAATTTGGCGGTCAAACATTAAAGCATGGATGACAATGACTCTTTTCATTGATTGGTTCAAAAAATAATTTCGCCCAACATTAAATGAATACTATGCGAAGAAAAACATGACACACAAGGCACTACTTATATTAAATAATGCTCTAGGCCACCCAGCACACCTAAATGAATTGTCTGAACTTGTACTAGTTGTTTTCCTTCCACTGAATACCATGTCTATGCTTCAACCATAGTTTGAACCAAGACGTTATATCATCATTTAAGGCCTATTATTTACATCGTGCCATGTCTCAACTTATTGAAGGAACAGATGGTGCTGGAGAGCTG